CTGGAGAAGCATACCGACCATAAATCAAGATTGATGTGCTATATAAACCGCTTAATCATAGTAAACTCCCCGGTAATGTATTTTAACAAACCGCTTAATTATAGTAAACCTCCCGGTAATGTATTTTAACAAACCGCTTAACCATAGGAAACTTCCCAGTAATGGTATTTTAACAAACCGTTTCATAACAGTAAACTTCTCACTAATGTATTTTAACAAACCGTTTGATCATAGTAAACTTCCAAGTAATGTATTTTAACAAACCGCTTTATAATAGTAAACTTCTCACTAATGTATTTTAATAAACCGCTTAATCATAGAAAACTTCCATGTAATGTATTTTTAGCAAACCGCTTAATCATAGTAAACTTACCAGCAATGTATTTTAACAAACCGTTTAATCATAGTAAACTTTTCACTAATGTATTTTTACCTACCGCTTAATCATAGTAAACTTACCAGTAATGTATTTTAACAAACCGTTTAATCAAAGTAAACTTCTCAGTAATGTATTTTTACAAAAACCGCGTCATCACAGTAAACTTCCCAGTAATGTATTTTAACAAACCGCTTTATCATAGTTAACTCCCCGGTAATGTATTTTAACAAACTGTTTACTCATAATAAACTTTCCAGTAATGTATTTTAACAAACCGCTTAATCATAGTTAAATCCACAGTAATGGTATTATAACAAACCGCTTAATCATAATAAACTTACCAGAAATGTATTTTTCCAAAAACCACTTAATAATAGTAAACTAAAGCTTCCCAGTAATGTATTTTAACAAACCACTTAATCATAATAAACTCCTCATTAATGGTAAGTTAACAAACCGCTTAATCATAGTAAACTTACCGGTAATGTATTTTAACAAACTGCTTAATCATAGTAAACTTTCCAGTAATGTTTTTTGTGACCGCTTAATCATAGTAAACTCCCCAGTAATGTATTTTAACAAACCGTTTAATCATAGTAAACTTCTCACTAATGTATTTTAACAAACCACTTAATCATAATAAACTCCTCATTAATGGTATTTTAACAAACCGCTTTATCATAGTTAACTCCTTGGTAATGTATTTTTACAAACAGCTTCATCATAATAAACTCCTCAGTAATGGTATTATAGCAAACCGCTTAATCATAGTAAATTTCCAAGAAATGTATTTTAACAAACCGCTTAATCATAGTAAACTTCCTGGTAATGTATTTTAACAAACCGCTTATTCATAGAAGACTCCCCAGTAATGTATTTAAACAAATCGCTTAATCATAGCAAACTTCCCAGTAATGTATTTTAACAAACCGCCTTATCATAGTAAACTTCCCAGTTATGTATTTTAGCAAACCGCATAATCATAATAAACTTCCCAGTAATGTATTTTAACAAACCGTTAAATCAAAGTAAACTTCCTAATAATATATTTTAACAAACCGTTTAATCATAATACACTTCACAGTAATGTATTTTAGCAAACCGCTTAATCATAGAAAACTTCCCAGTAATGTATTTTAACAAACCGTTAAATCATAGTAAACTCCCTGGTAATGTATTTTAGCAAACCGCTTAATCATAGTAAACTTCCCAGTAATGTATTTTAACAAACTGCTTAATCATAATAACCTTCCCAGAAAAGTATTTTAACAAACCGTTTAATCATAGTAAACTTACCAGTAATGTATTTTAACAAACCGTTTCATCATAGTAAACTTACCAGTAATGTATTTTAGCAATTCGCTTAATTATAGTAAACGTCCCAGTAATGTATTTTAACAAACCGCCTTATTATAGTAAACTTCCATGTAATGTATTTTAGCAAACCACTTAATCATAGTAAACTTACCAGTAATGTATTTTAGCAATTCGCTTAATTATAGTAAACGTCCCAGTAATGTATTTTAACAAACCGCCTTATTATAGTAAACTTCCATGTAATGTATTTTAGCAAACCACTTAATCATAGTAAACTTACCAGTAATGTATTTTAACAAACCGTTTCATCATAGTAAACTTACCAGTAATGTATTTTAGCAATTCGCTTAATTATAGTAAACTTCCCAGTAATGTATTTTAACAAACCGCTTAATCATAATAAACTTCCCAGTAAAGTATTTTAACAAACCGTTTAATCATAGTAAACTCCCTGGTAATGTATTTTAGCAAACTGCTTAATCATAATAAACTTCCCAGTAAAGTATTTTAACAAACCGTTTAATCATAGTAAACTTACCAGTAATGTATTTTAGCAATTCGCTTAATTATAGTAAACGTCCCAGTAATGTATTTTAACAAACCGCCTTATTATAGTAAACTTCCATGTAATGTATTTTAGCAAACCACTTAATCATAGTAAACTTACCAGTAATGTATTTTAGCAATTCGCTTAATTATAGTAAACGTCCCAGTAATGTATTTTAACAAACCGCCTTATCATAGTAAACTTCCCAGTTATGTATTTTAGCAAACCGCATAATCATAATAAACTTCCCAGTAATGTATTTTAACAAACCGCTTAATCATAATAAACTTCCCAGTAAAGTATTTTAACAAACCGTTTAATCATAGTAAACTTACCAGTAATGTATTTTAACAAACCGTTTAATCATAGTAAACTCCCTGGTGATGTATTTTAGCAAACTGCTTAATCATAGTAAACTTACCAGTAGTGTATTTTAACAAACCGTTTAATCATAGTAAACTTACCAGTAATGTATTTTAGCAATTCGCTTAATTATAGTAAACTTCCCAGTAATGTATTTTAACAAACCGCCTTATTATAGTAAACTTCCATGTAATGTATTTTAGCAAACCGCTTAATCATAGATAAATTACCAGTAATGTATTTTAACAAACCGCTTTATCATAGTAAACTTACCAGTAATGTATTTTAACAAACCGTTTAATCATAGTAAACTCCCTGGTAATGTATTTTATCAAACCGATTAATCATAGTAAACTTACCAGTAGTGTATTTTAACAAACCATTTAACCATAGTAAACTTACCAGTAATGTATTTTAGCAATTCGCTTAATTATAGTAAACTTCCCAGTAATGTATTTTAACAAACTGCTTAATCATAATAAACTTCCCAGTAAAGTATTTTAACAAACCGTTTAATCATAGTAAACTTACCAGTAATGTATTTTAGCAATTCGCTTAATTATAGTAAACTTCCCAGTAATGTATTTTAACAAACTGCTTAATCATAATAACCTTCCCAGAAAAGTATTTTAACAAACCGTTTAATCATAGTAAACTCCCTGGTGATGTATTTTAGCAAACTGCTTAATCATAGTAAACTTACCAGTAGTGTATTTTAACAAACCATTTAACCATAGTAAACTTACCAGTAATGTATTTTAGCAATTCGCTTAATTATAGTAAACGTCCCAGTAATGTATTTTAACAAACCGCCTTATCATAATAAACTTCCCAGTAATGTATTTTAATAAACCCGGTAATGTATTTTAACAAACTGCTTAATCATAATAACCTTCCCAGAAAAGTATTTTAACAAACCGTTTAATCATAGTAAACTTACCAGTAATGTATTTTAACAAACCGTTTAATCATAGTAAACTCCCTGGTAATGTATTTTAGCAAACCGCTTAATCATAGTAAACTTCCCAGTAATGTATTTTAATAAACCGTTTAATCATAGTAAACTTCCAAGTAATGTATTTTAGCAAACCGCTTAATCATAGTTAAATTACCAGTAATGTATTTTAACAAACCGCTTTATCATAGTTAACTTACCAGTAATGTATTTTAACAAACCGTTTAATCATAGTAAACTTACCAGTAATGTATTTTAGCAAACCGCTTAATTATAGTAAACTTAACAGCAATGTATTTTAGCAAACCGTTTAATCATAATAAACTTCCCAGTAATGTATTTTAACAAACCGCCTTATCATAATAAACTTCCCAGTAATGTATTTTAGCAAACCGCTTAATCATATTAAACTTACCAGTAATGTATTTTAACAAATCGTTTAATCATAGTAAACTTCCCAGTAATGTATTTTAACAAACCGCCTTATCATAGTAAACCTCTCGGTAATGTATTTTAATAAACCGTTTAATCATAATAAACTCCTCAGTAATGGTATTTTAACAAACCGCTTAATCATACTAAACTCCCTGGTAATGTATTTTAACAAATTGTGTACATAAAAACGATGTTCAATTGCCCATGACTTAGATCGATAAATAAACTTAACATGATATGCCATTTCATAACATTTTTTGGTGTTACAAACGAGCTTGACTTGTTATAAACGTTATAAATGGAAAGTTCTATAACTTACATAACGTGCATGTCTTTTTTCTTTTAAAACAAACAACGCTGAATATTACGAAAATTCTTTTTATTTACATTTATTCATCAAAGTCACACTGTCTTTGGTTTTGCATTTATATACCTGATTAAGATGTTAATTATAGGAACATTTTACTATGATACCTGTGGTCTCTCAAAGCCGTTATCATCTTGTTTTGTAGCCCAGTAGCTCCGCACTACCTAAGTTTATAACTTAAATTTAGATAATGTCATTAATAACGTAGCATTCATTTGGGTCGCAAAATGGATTGACAAACTGTAATGCCGGTTAAGTATTTTTGTGAAGACATTGGCCTGTACCTCATCTAATGTTTAAGCTGAATATATCCAAATCACACCGAAGTCCGATGATAAACTCGGGTAGTTGCATATGACTTTTCAGAGGAGAGACATTTTGGGTGACTATATTTTTAGGAGGCATGGTGAATGACTCTGATTTTAATAATAATAACTAACATTCTTAAGCATATCATATGTGTGATTATTATTGACAGAATTCCAGAGTCCTGTGATCAGGAGCAGGAGCAACTATGTGATACTCCAGGGGTTGCATGAACGCTCGCTCGAGCGTAACTGTTCGATTTTCTTTGTTTGCGCATCTTATACAGTGGAGTAAAGCGTGGCGAATCCTATGCAGTGAATGCGACTCGGTTAACTGTGAACCTTGGCAGGTCAAAGTTCATTAAACAGAACGCGAGGAACTGAAGAGAGGGCTGCACAGAAAAAACGATCAAAGATGAGTACACCAATTTATGTGGAGAATGTTGCTTTGCTAGGAATAGTAACTTTGGCCGGAGGTTATCAACTCGGTACGTACACTGCATGTCAACATTGTCATTCGCCTGTACAAACACAGGTATACTCCTATAAATCAACATACGAGGCTAGTACCCCCACCTGACACTACACACCTCCAGTATCATATGTCCCCCNCTGACACTACACACCTCAGTATCATATGTACCACTCCCCACCTGACACTACACACCTCAGTATCATATGTACCACTCCCCACCTGACACTACACACCTCAGTATCATATGTACCACTCCCGATCTGACACTACACACCTCAGTATCATATGTACCACTCCCCTCCCCCCCACCTGATACTACACACCTCAGTATCAGTATCATATGTACCACTCCCCATCTGACACTACATACCTCAGTATCATATGTCCCCCCCCCACCTGACACTACACACCTCAGTATCATATGTACCACTCCCGATCTGACACTACACACCTCAGTATCATATGTACCACTCCCC